AAACTTATGTGATCATACATTTCTTTAAATTTGTATATGCAGACTGTAGTATAAGATGCTGCTGTCTGTAGGAAATATCATTTAAAATTTGATAAAATTGGTCGAAATATCTCATTGAGACATAAAACTAAAAGTCACCATACAGTCTTGATTTCTATGTTCACACACACACACACACACACACACTATATACTAATAATAAATAGACAGTTTGTTCCTCACTGATAGCACAACTCTAAGTTTTATGCATGATGCAATCATTGAAAACTGACCATTGCAAAATTTAAATATTTATATTTATACCATACTGCTATGATAGTGGAGCACTTTGCATTTTCCAGAACTCTCTGACAGAAATTGCAAGTGGTTCTGAAAGAAGTAAGAGCTAGACTACACTACTCCTTTGATAGATTTTGAAGTAGTGAATCCAGTGAGTTATGGCTGCAGTGCATTCAGGGATGAAACAGGGCTGATTGTTTGGCTTTTGCTGGAATTTTGTTTGAGGTTATAAAACACTCCATTCCAGAAAGGATCTATTTGGAGATTAGGGCAGCATATTTGAAGTATGTTGGGAGAGACATTTCCGTCATATAGGCCCAAAAAGTGTCCCAGTCTCCCTCTGCATAATGAAAACCCATTCTATAGAATGGTAAATCAGGGAATGTCATTGATTTGGAGTCAATCTAGACACTGACTAGGGAATGATCTGACATGCCACTCACTTTCCAGTCTTGATGGTGTTCAAAAGCGTTTCCGAGTCATTGTTGGAAAAGAATTGTTTTCAACACTTGAACCCATCTCACAGATGGGACGTGGCAAGTCTATCACTACTCTGTTGCTACTACAATGGAATAAATTGCATCTACTGGTTCCACCTGGTCTGTCCTTCATGGCTAGGACCTGCCATGCCACTTACATAGTAGCAAACTACCCTCATTCCTTCTGTATTCCATCTGTGGAAAGTAAGTTTCACTCAAACACCTTAACATAACCCTCAGCTTTGAGTGACCCTCAGGCCTTGTACAGGCTGAACCTTATTGTTACCCAAAGAGTGAGAGTGAGTTTTTCAGTGCTTGTTGAATGCTTGGGAAGGTCTGCCATCTATTTTTTTCCCCAAAAATATTTCAGAAGAATGCCAAGAATTTGTAAAACAGTAATATGGCGGTTTTATTGATGAAAGCAAAATATGATTCAGTTGTATGATAATTTTTTTCTAGTTAAGTGTTTTGTCAAAATAAAAGCAAATACACCGTAGTTAGTGAAATTAAATTAAATATTGAGAAAAATTACAAAAATGTCATTTTAAGGTATTTTTTTTTTAAAAGAAATGCAGTGTAGACCTAAACTTTTTGCTTGTAGTGTGTGTATGTATGTGTGTGTATGTGTGTGTGTACAGTAAAGGTAACTAATCCATTGGTATATAATCCAAGTGGATCCTAGTAATATAAAATATTAAAACTGATCCACAAAAAGAGCTCAATGTATTTATTAATACAGAGCTATATCATAAATAAACAATAAAATCCCAAATTACCTCATATGGGGAATAGCTTATAGACGACAAATATCTTTGTCTGCCAAAATAGATTATTCCCCATTCGAGGTAATTTTTGATTATATTGTTTATTATACATACATGTATATATATATATATGTGTGTGTGTGTGTGTGTGTTTAACAATATGATTTCTCACAGAAGATAAGTTGATAAATTCATTTTCCTTTTAAGTCCACTTAGTTATCTGAGTTCCTTCAGAAATTTGTCTCCAGTCTATTTTTGAGTCAACTTAAGTGTCAGTGTTTTCAAGAATTCTGTCTCCAGTGGCCTTTGAATTGGGAAGCATAAAATGTTGTTAATGATTTTAGAAAATTTTCTTTAGAAGATTTGACTACCAATCTGGCTTTCGGGACTCTCTTGTTCCGAACATAAGTGGATAGGTAGATGGATGGATGGATGGATAGGGGGGATGGGGGACCCAGCCATTATCCATATAACCAGAGACAGGCAGAAAGTCAGGGATAAAGGAGTCCAGCAGTCAGAGAAGTAGTTAGGTGACCAGGGAGTGAGTAGCGGCCCAGGGAGTGAGGAATTTGCAGTGACCAAAACCACAGATAGTAAAAGTAAGGGTCCTTTTTCCACGGCCAGAAGTTAATAAGATAGCAGTCAACTTCTCAAAGCTGAAGGAAGAATCCCACGGTTAAGTGAGAAATTGCATTGTTGCTAATTTCTAACCAGTGTCTTTAAATGCAATTGTCATTATTATTTTTTGTTGAATGTGATCATAACTAATGTGAACATAATGAGTTGGGTGTATATACAGATAAAACCAACCTTGGATATCATCAAGTTGTGCAGTGAATGACATGTGGAGAATTTTGTCACATATGAACCTGTTGTAAAAAGGATTAGCTTTATTATGGCAATTAAAACATATATTCATCATTGAGGAGGAAAATAAAAGAAGAGAAAAATTATAGTTATGAATGGCAATTTGAAAAAAAAAAAAAAGCTGACTAGTTTTCATTTCTCTCTCTTCAGAGAGGAAACAAAAAAATGTACACAACAACTAATTTAATTTCCTTTGGAATTTTGAAGTAATAAAAATGTTATTCTACTTTCACAATTGAATACATGGTAGATGATACTCAGCTTTTGTGCATATACATGTTTGTGTGGACATAATTACTAGGAGGCAGTGATATGTCTGTTTTATGTGGTAGTCTTGTTTAAGTTATATTTTGGAATAGTTTAAGAAATTCTAGAATATTATATGGAGTAATGTCATGAAAGAGTTCTTTCATGTTCGTTGTTTGTTTGGCTGCTTGATTTTGTTTAGTGGCTTATCAACTTCTATGGATTATTTAATGCTGAATTTTCAACACAATTATATGACTTCAACTACAGATGAAATGTATTGTTGGTAATTCTATGATAATTAGGTATTGTTGGTAATTCTATGATAATTAGGTATTGTTGGTAATTCTACGATAAATGGGTATTGTTGGTAATTTTTTTTATATATATATAAAAATGTATTGTTAATATTTTTAGTATAAAAATGTATTTTTATACTATTATATAGTGTTTTGTTTTTATTTAGAAGTTTGCTATTTGTCCATAGCTGAGGTCCCTAACAGGTGCTACCACTCCGGATTAGGGTGGTTCTGGGAACAGCAGCAATTAAGAGGTGGTTCCACGCTCTTCAAAACCTCCAATCTTCCCATCACAGGCCTTGCTGCTGCCAGATGTAGTTTGTCATATCAAGGACTATATATTAATAACCTATCTATATATGCAGATACATCACAAGCAAATTGAGATCCAACAGTCACTCCTATTTACAATGACAAGACTGTAAAGATTTAATAAATATGATCTCTAAAATTTTCAAGTGATAGAGGGAGAATCATTAAATGTGAAATTTCAATTTTTTTTCTTTTTTTCTGACTGTGAAAATCTGAATAAATATGATCTCTAAAATTTTCAAGTGAAAATCTGACTAATAAATAATCACATGTCCTAATATGACAGCATGTTTTCAACGTGCTGTCATAGTAGGACATATGATTATTTATTAGATATCCTGCTATTGCAGAGCTGGATGTATTCATGAACCTATACAAATTGATATTGACCCTTACAGATACAAACTGGTGCATGTTTAGTCATTCTCTTTTCCAACCAATGAGTGGTTCTATGTCTATAGTCAGCATCACATGGATATGAGAAATATAAGTAGGTAGACCATCCTTATGGATTGATCTCATAATCAGTTGAGCAGACAAAACATGAATTGACAGCCAAATAACAACTTCTTGCATTAGGAGAGATTTAGTTAAAAAAAAAAAAAACTTTGCTTATCCACTTCTTTTATGTGCCATGTCCCTTCAGGACATTGGCGATCATTGCTCTCCACAATTTCCTGTCCTTTGTAGCTTAATAAATTTTGTCTTTGTTATCTCTCCTAAACCTTATTTCACCATCCATTTACTCAAGCTTGCAAGGTAGGTTAGGTGTTATTCCCCTCTGTACCTCTTGCCTTCAATTTGTCCTGTGAGTATCAAATTTTCTAAACTCTCTTTCCTCCTTATGTGCTGTAGGAATTTCAAGTCTCTCTTTCTGATGTTAAGTATAAGTGTCCTTTTGGTTTCCATTTTCTCTAAAATTTCATTGTTGCTTGCATCGTCAGTCTGTGATATTCTCAGTATCCTTCTGTAGAACCACATTTCTCTTGTTTCAAGTCTCTTCATCTGTGAGGAGATTGTCCAGCATTCAACTGCCATATATTTCTACTGAAATTTTTCTGTTCCGTAATACTTTGCTTGTCTTTTGGAAGACATCTTTAGTAACTGCAAATACACATGCCATTTATTGGGACCAAAAATTTAGGCTTATGAAATTTCAATTTTTTTTCTTTTTAGTTACCATTTATAGTAACTATACTTTTTCCTCCTTGTTTTCATCTTCCTCTTTGACAAATATCTGTTTTAATACCTATGTTAACCTTTATGAAAATTTTTAAGGAATAATTTTATTCATGTTCTGATAGTTGATCTAAGTCTTCATTAGCAAAGTGGAATCACCTTTCGACTTTTTTATTATTCTTTTACTAATTGCTATAAAATTTAGGTGTGACTATTATTATTATTATTATTATTATTAAGAGGCTTTTATACATTGATCTGCATTTGAATTGTAGCATTTTTCTTTGTTTTCTGATATAGTTATAACTTATCATACATTAACCTGAAATATTACTGATTAATCTTTCTTTCTAACAAACAGTAATCTTTACAGTCAATATGAAAAAACTAGCAACTAATGTTTATTAATCTACATTACCTGATTTGTCATGTGAATATTGGTTTATATTCAGTCAGTAAAGTTCTTTTAATAGAAGAGCAGGTCGACATGTTCAGAGAATGTTTGAGTTAGATGACCTGGTAACTCAAAGAACAGACATTTCAAGGAATAATCTAGTCTGGCTGCTAAGAAAGAGATGCTGTTGAAATACCAGCTTCCTTCTCCTCCTGCTTTTGAAAAGATGTCCTCAACAGACTTCTCAGCTGAGAGAGAACTGTATTTCAGCTTGCAAAGAAAAAATTGGATTTCTCAAATTGATGTTGTCATTTCTATTAGTGTCAGAAACAAACATGACTAACATTGATTTCTTAAAACAAATTTCATGGTTATATTGCAAGAAGAAAATGGAAAAATTCAAGGTGTGACTAATTATAAAGTCTATATTAATACACATTATTATTATTATTAATTAAAATGAAGATTTATGTTTGCTGCCTTGGTACACACCTATCAAAGCAATGTTTTCCTTACTCATCATTTATTTTTTTAATGAAACATTATTTTATGATTGCTTTATAATCGCACAATTATCTTCATCTTTATTGTTTTTATCCCGTTTTAGCTGGTTAATCCTCTGGTTTTCTTCACATGATATAAATGATAATAGTTCAAAAACATGAAATTGTTTTTATGTGTTTATAAATTGGAACATTAATAGGTCTCTAGGCCTTAAAACTTATGTATACAAGGGTTAGCCATTTATCTGTAATGTCTAAATTTATTTTGGGTCATATGACCTAAAACATGAAAGTTATTTTTTTTTATTCAGTTTTCTTTCTCCTCTTATATATGCATATGTCTTTCTTTTATTTAATGAGACTGAAAAATTTTAAAAACTGAGGATTCCAGAAAGTAGAAGTAGTAATCATCACAATCTTTTTCCATTTTCTTGCATTAATGAGATTGGTCAGTATTTCATTATGCAATCTTATGAAAATTTTACATGAATAAGTGACTCGCTGAAAGATACTAATGGATCAAAATGACTCTGTTCAACACTTATCAATATAAATTTCAATATTAGCTGGATATCACATTCTATATAATTAAGTGGAATATTAAAGTGACATTGTTATAATATGGCAAGTTCTTTGCTTTTATGAATATCAGTTGATGACTATCGTTAAAAAATAAAGAAAAGAATCTAAACTTAATCCAAAACCCAGTTCTTATTTTTAAATTATTAAGAAAAAATGTATATATATGTTTTGCATACTATAATTGTATATAGAAGAGATCATTTAGTTCCCAAACTTTTTTGAATTGCTGCCCCCTTGTGTACAAAAGTACAACCCTTCACCCCTTCCTAAGTCAAACTTTGATTGGATTATCTTGGTGCTAGTATTATATGTCAAATGAGTATCTTATTATTTCCCATAATAATTGTTATATAAATGCGATAATCCTGTAAAGTAAAGGCAAGATACACTACAGGTACAATCACTATGACTGGTGTCTGTACATGGTTTATATGTGCCACTGCCACCTCCTGGCTGCACATTTCTTTTCCTTACTGCTCCTCTGGATCTTTCCACTTCCGCCAGAGAGGGGGGGCTGCCCACTTTGGGAATCTCTGATGTAGATGTCCAAGTAGTCATAAAAAGATCTTGGTTAACATTTAATCTTCATCTCTCTTTTCCAAAAGAAAGAATCTTACAGTTGTATTTCTTTTAGAAACAAAAATCCCTGAAAAAAAAATGTTCCTAAGAAAAAATTTATTCAAATCTTGTGAAGTCTACTACAACACAAGAATAGTCTTGACTTCTGATTGTGTTTCTCTATGTATATTATCTGGGTGTATCATATATTAGATATGACTGTTCAGTAGAATTGGATTCGTTTCCTTTTAATTGGTCTTGCTAAGCTGGTATAAGAATAGAATTATTTATTTAGTAGCCTAGTCTTTAATTAGTTGAATTTGTAGTTTATAGACAGTCATAGTTTGTTAGGTAAAAAAAAAATATGAAATCTAGGTGAAGATGGAAGTCCAATTATAAAAAGAATTTTGTTAATGCATATGTATATTTATGTATGTATTTTATATATGCCTACATTATTTTGTCTATCTGTTCTTGTTTCTGTATATGCACATGAATTCACTTACGTGTTTCTTATGTAGTTTAAATCTTTGTGATGGATTTAATTATCTAGAAATACCAGTGTGCCAAGTAGTATTACACTGCCGACAATATTATTGTTAATATTTATAACCATGACTATACAATAATAACAGTTAAATGGGAATTTTAATGTTTGGGGTCAAGGCAAATTGCTTATTTTCTAGACAAGAAACCATGTTATATATATATATATATATATATATATATATATATATAGTCATCCACAGACACTGTTTCACTGTATCACAGCTCATCAGTGTGGCTAGACATCCAATTGCCTCAAGCCAGGATCAAAACACAACTGATTTGGCATCAGTCAGAGATTTTACTCCTAAGTTATCAGCGCCCGGTAGAGAGGTATGTGTGTATGTATATTTTATATATATATATATATATATATATATATATATATATATTATAAATTAATTGATTTAAAATATGTTTTTTTTCGCTACACAGTTAACTGCAAAAACTATTAACACAGTTCTAACCATGTTTCAAAAATGGAAGCTAAAAGCCACGAATTTAATTTTGTGATTAAATTAAAGACATTAGTTCCATTTCATCCTCAAGCGAATTTTGGAGTAACTTTTTAAAATTACTGGGTTTTAAATACACAGCTAAAACAAAATTCATGTTTCCAAGGTTACAGATAAATCTATTTTTATAGACAGGGGTGATTGGGTTTTCAATATGTCTATAATTTAATGTATCAGTTATTGCTACGTTTGGGTCATGGAGATATATATATATATATATATATATATATATATATATATATATATATATAAAATGTGTGTGTGTGAAATAATGTCATTTTTTTTAGTATACATAAGTGTTGGAGGAGGTCTTTTTTATGCAGGTCACTCCAAAAGTAATTTGCCCCAATGATTCTGCAAAAACTATTAACGGATGTAGGGAGCTCAATGATACTATTGGATAGAACAAATTTTCAGTTATAAAACACTATATTTACACATAGTCACTACTATTTGCTATGTATTCTCACCAGCAGTAAACAGAATCTTGCATACCATATGTGAAAATATGGCTTGTCTCACAAATTTCTGTTGCTACTACAGAAATCACCTACTACTGTGCTCAAATTTAGTTTGGTTTCCATAAATATTTGCAAGTGTTGATGAATTAAAATGAGTGCAGATTTTTCCATGGGGAGGAGTTCAATGACACACCTGCTTCATGCACTCTTTCATGTCAGATATCATTTTGCCAGACAGCTGCTGAGCTATCTGTAATGAGGCAAAAAACATTCTTAACTTTTTGGTAAAAAGGTTCAACCTCTACTGTCATACCATCAACATCCATTTCTGATCTGAGCCAATGTAGTAAAATAGAAGACGTTATTTTCAGAGTGTCCCTTATATTGAATCACTGCAAAAGTTTGTACCTGATTTTCATTGCTTTTAATTTTCTAATCATGCATAAACTTTTGCAGTGATCTATTTTACCGTTATTCATATGGCTTGTGACTGTCTGGATTTTGGAAAGTCAAGAATGCATTTCCTTTATTCTCTTTGTTTTGGCACAAAACCAAACTCTTACTAATTCTTTCTTTTTTTATTATAATCTCTTAGTCATGATGAGTATTGAAATAACAGGAGGATAGTCAAATGTTTTCAGTAGTCAATCTATTTCATAGCATAATTGCAAATAATCTTTGGCAATTTTCTAATGAAAATACATTGATAATTCTTACAACAAAGATTTTTCTACTGGAATAAAATCATTTGTTTTAGACTAAATTGAATATACTTATTCCAAATCTGAAATCGGAATTATTCTAACATGTTAGTATTTTGTATTATATGCATGAATACATGATTAGGGACCTTCTCTTATATTACACCAGACAAAAAAAAAATGTGTAATATTCAGATTGTATAATCATGATGTCAGGACTTCAAAGCAATCACTTACTGTCTAAAGAATGAAAAAAATGAATAAATGAAAAGTTTCAAGATCAGGTGCCACTTGGCTGGAAATTAGGAATTCTGGTCACATTCTATAATGACTGATCAGAAGCTGTCCATCGGTAGAGGTGACAAGATTCATGTTGTGGAGATGGGTAAGGGATGGTAGGATAGAGTCTGTAATCAGAGGCCAATTATAAGTCATCCATCAAGATGTAGAGACAGTTGCAGATAGAGATGTGCAGAGAGGCAGTCACAAATTGAAGGGGAGATCTGGTCCATTAGTCTGTTATGAGAGAAAACAGGAAGTAGCAATGAAGATGTTCCAAGTGTCACCTACGTACAAACAGTCACACCAGATGAAACCATATCTAGAACATCACAGTTTGCTAGATCCTGTTCTTCCATCCTGTAGATTTTTGCCATAAAATGAGTCTTGTAAAAATGTTGGCTTTACACTCTCATGGAAACACACCTGCTACCTAATGGACCATAATACCATCAGTCAACACATTAATAAGCAGCATAAGGATCATAGACAGCTACTCACAAACAATACCAAAATACTAGCAAAATTAAATAAAAACAAACTCCTGGTCCTCAAAGCAATGTTCATACAACAAAAACTACTATCAATAAATAAAAACAATTATAACTTGTATAAAAAACAAAAAAAAACACATCACACCTCATTTACATCACAATACTTACTAGTTTTATGAAACTCACCAATTGTCTCTACCTACCCTTGTGATGACCTAAGAAAGTTGAAAGCATGGACCGTACTCCTTGTACTTTTCTTCCGAAATGAATTTCGGACAATTTTTGACAGAATTTCCTCCTTGTCTAAGAAGGATTATTCATAATTTGGAAAAGTCAATCAGTAAAATTAATCAACATAAAATGTTTTGTTTTTAATATTTACCTTGAAGAATATTTGTTGCCTAATTACACAGGAGATATATATATTCATGGCTCTCAGCACATTCCTCTTTTTTATTATCTGTGAATTGTCGTGCCTTCTTCCAAGCTTGTTTGAAATTCAGTTTTCTTTTAGAATAGTTGCCACCCAAGGCTAGAGAATCTTGTCTACTCTTTTATTTAATTCATAACTGGGTTAACTATTCATTCTATTATATACTTAATGTGAATTCTGTTTAAATGTGAAAGCTTTTATTTTTGGTTTGGCATTCTTCATTCAAATATTTATAATTTTTTCTATTATGGTAAATCATCTACAGTTAGATAAATGTGTAAATGTATCTTTACATTAATCATTGAATGCTAAATAGATTGTAATTCTGGCAGGCCATTTATTGTTAAGAATTAAATGATTTTAGCTAGGCTTTCTTCCAATGCATAATAATCAGTTTTGTTATAAGCTGAAATATATTAATTGTATATTTCATGCTTTTAAAAACATATGCTAATAAAATTAGGAGTGAATGTACTTCTTTGTTGGGCACTAAGAACTTTTCACTAATCCTTGGATTGTTTGTGTTTGAAAGTGGAAATATGTCTGTAATTGCTTTTCTGACCCCTTTCCTATTATTGATGCCATTTCTGTTAGAACAGGGACTAACATTTATTTATTTATGTTGTTGTTATTGATTTTGTTGACTAGCTGAGGAACAGATAGTTTTACAACCTGTTGCAAATGAATCACCACTCAGATTGGAAAATGATGAAGTTGGCACTATTGCTAACACTTTGTAAACTTCATGAACAAATCGTAACTCTCCAATTATATCTTTCTCTCTCTCTCCTCTGCTCTCTCTCTCTATTTATTTTCCAGATTGTTTCTCTATAGCGTTTATTTTTCTGGTATGTCTGTAACATTAGGTAAAACCTTTCGACAGATTTGTATAGTAATATATTGTTTTTGTTTTCATTCTTTTTAACCATATTACTTTATGTAATTTGCTGGTGAGAAATTCAGTAAAAGACCACCAAGATGGTTTGCATAACTAATGCATCTGTTTACCTTCTGTAATATAGTAACACCTCTAAATAGAAGCTTTATGAAGTTTTATTTGACTAATTCAACTTTAGTGCTGAAAACGTTTAGGGGATTTGCTTATTTTATTGCCACACCATCTCTATGCTTTTAGTTGTGTTTTGGTGATATGTAAGTAATACATATTCCCCATTTAGTGTTGGGTGGTTAAAAAAAAATTTTTGTCAGCATTAGGAGTGTTTAGTTTAAAAAATTAAGATTGTATTTGAGTGTATTATGAGTTTTCCCACTGAACAATACTCGAGGGTCACTTGAAGTTGATAGCAGTACAATCAAAACATTACTTGAGATAACATTGGAAATAGCTAACATACTCAGAATATCCAAATAATGTACTGAAAATCATTTTCACCATATTGGTTATAGTATTCTCTTTGTTATGTAGCTTCTAGATAATTTGAAAAAGATCTCACAGTACTATATCTCTCTGTGATTCATTACTTAAACATCATGAAAATGTTTCATTTCTAAAACAATAAAAAAAATGCAGACTGTAACAGTTTGTAGGGCAAGTGTAATGATTCTCCATTAACTGTACCCAAATTCGATGTTTATCCAAAGAAGTTGATGCTGGTGGAATTTGCCGTCTATTTTGAGCTCCTTCAGAGAACCTAATGATGCAGTCAGTCAATGCCTGCTCACAATTATCATACCAATTGAAAGAAGGCAATAATTAGCCAAAAAATTATCTGGAATTAACAACAGAAAGGGTATAATATTCCATCAGTATAATGCTAGACTGCATATTTTTTGGTGACCTAGCTTGGCTGGGATGATGTCACTCATTCTCCATCATCACTAGATATTGCTCTTGTGGGTTGAAATTTATTCTAGTTTTGAAAGAATTATTTTAATGAAAACAGTGTCAATTTCCTGGAAGACTACAGTAATATTTAAAAAAATTGGTCTTTTAGTTTTACTTACTCTTATCAGCCCTTAAGAGATTTCAATTTTTTATCAATTTCATCCCAAGCAAGGCAGTAAAGCCACTAAGATATAAATGTTTACTTGGTGTAGAAGAATTAAAAAAACAAAAAATTTACAAAAGACCAAAAGAAGAGTTATCAGGAGGACAGAAAGCAACTGGCATTGCATTTAAATTTTTGAAGATTAAATTTGGCTGGAAATCATGGAGAACTGGAAGAGAGTTCCACAAGCGAGAAGTGTGAGAAAAGAAACTGTTAGCATAGAACTTACGGTTACATCTAGCCATCTCAACTGTAAGTTGGTGAGACCTTGTTACCAGTTTAGTACTGAACTTAAATTCATAAGTCTAGGTACCATGACGAAGAGCTTATCTGAACAGTTGCTATGACAATATTTATAGAAAAGGCACAGATAAACAAATTTACGGCAGGGGGACTGAAACTGAGATGGCAGATCAGGACCATTAATATTGTTGATTCTTT